AAATCATTTTACCCCCCCTAGAATTTTTGACCTTGCACACGTCTGCGCACTACATGAAATATATTTCATCAAAGTAACTTTGAAGTAATATATTTATTTGCAAAATGAATGACAAGATCTTGGTTTAATTTCTTTTTTGAAATATACTGCCTTTGGTTTAAATTAAATAAATAATATGAGCATAGAATCTAAAATCACTTTGATTCTGGTCAAGACTCAATTTTTAAACAACATTTTATCATAAAAATTTGATTGGCGCTTCGAAATATTATGCACTTATCTGTCGTTACTGCCACTGTTTTCAATTAAATAAAAAATATGAGCATAAAATTCAAATTCACCATAATTTGTTTCAACACTCAAAAAGTATCTAGGAAAAAAAAGAAGCAGATGAGTAGCTCTACATTTCATGTAGTGCTAAAAAAGTAAACATAGTAGCAACACTACCATCACAATGAACAGGATAACGTTGATAATTACCGCTGGATGATATATAATCCAGAAGCATTTACAGTGCGCGAAAACTTATGCTCTCATATTTTGTGTGTATCGATTTTGTGAGAGCTTTAGCCCCGTGCCGCTGAAATTCGGCAACAATTCGAGCCACTTTAAAACCCGGATTTAACTTCTTGCGCCACGAATATGCGCCAGTATTTATCGGGCAAGAAATATTGAGTACAAAAAAGAAGGACCGGACCGCTTACACATTTTTCCAGGGTTAAACTGATATTTACGATTGAATAAATATGATCACCAATCAGTGATGAAGAGAGAGTCGCTCTCAGGAAGACAGAGTATGAATATTCCATTGCTGCCACCGTCGCTGTCAGCATTCTCGAAAAGCACTGCCTGAAACGATGATATCCTTCGATCCGGGTGAAGTGATGTGGAGCCGCGTGAAACCAATTCATACACACACACACACACACACACACAAAGAGTGAAACAGAAGCACTTTAATCAAGATGAAGAGAATTGAAATGTGCACAAGACGGCAGAACCGGGGTGCGGCAGATGAAGTAAATTGTTTATGATGGAAATTCCACGCATTCAATAAAGGAATTCTTTATTGTGATTTTTATGATTTAGCTCGAGAGTTTGGTGGCGTGCGGTGGATGCTGTTGTTGCTCTTGCCTCCTCACCTTCGTCGCCACCGCACTGTCTCTCGTATCATGCAAATAGCGTTCACGTGTAGTACATTAGTTTCGATACATGTGTTCATAGTACCGCAGATACGAGAACTTGAGACTTTTGCACCCACAAGAAAGCTTTATGGAAAATATCGAAAGAACAGAGACAGCATGAGAACCATTTTGAGACAGGAAAGAGAACAAAAACACTTTGCCATTTGTTCGCTCGACTATCATTCTGTCTCTCTCTCTCTCTCTCCTCTCTCGCGCCATTCCATTCACCCGAAATTGTTTTTGTTAAGACTTTCAATTTGTAAACGGAGATGAAGTGAAATGGGACAGTGAAAAAACCTACACACAGTAGCACCACCACTATATATTGTTTGCATCATTTGAATAACACAGAGATTTGCATCGATCTCACACGGAAGCGATTGTACGTGTTGTCATCGGAATATTCATCGACTTCAAGTCGATGTGCTTTTTCGCATGTTTTTCTTATTCTGTCATATCTCGCAATTTTGCGCGCCCTCTCTCTCTCCTCCTCTTTCTTTCTCTCTCTCTCTCGCCATCGTGGTCTTTCCGTTGGCGTTGGATATTAATCTAAGAATAGTAATATACCAGAGCAGCGTATCATTTTATTTCATGTTATTTGGAGCGTCCGTTGGTATTTCATTTCGTTAAAAGTTGCTGCTGATGCTGCTGCTACCACTGCTGTTGTACCGAACTATACGGAAATTCAAAGGCAACGCACTGAATGATGTCTCTTTTGTGATTTTTCCGTTGCCATTTCAAATCTTCCGGAATTTCCATAAAACAATATTACAGAAGATGAACTGGAATTAATTAATTTTTTGTTCTCTCTTCGTTCTGTCTGTCTTTTTTTCGTTCTGAAATTGAACACATTTTGAACATGTCAAAGGACGAACGGCGAAAAAAGACGAAAATAAACGCAGAGAGAATGTTTGATGTACGGAATGGAAAGAGGGAGGAAAATAAAAACGAAAAATAATAAGTGAAAACACAAACGGCGAATGAAGAGAAAAACAACCAACACACTCTTTCAAATTTCATTCATTCATTTTTCATCAATTGCAGACCGCATGTGTTCGCTCTGCACATCGCATTCAAGCCGTAAATGCGGATGTAGAATAATGAAATTGTGCTGAGCATCGCACAAGCTGCCAATTGTTTAACTAGTCGGAAATTACGTTTTGTGCGTCGAAAGCGAAATTCGTCTTTTTTTTTCTCTCGCAAAGTCGGCTTCTGCAATTAAAACTGGTCATTCATTCTCACACATAAACATATATATATATAACACTGTATAACACAAACACATGCCCAGCATTTTGGAAAAATGTTCATTTCTCAAAGAGCGACCAAATCACATCAGAACCATTACTAAGTTACCACTAATTACATTTGACGATGACGCAAATACCGTGAACCATTTCAATTTGTTCATTTGCGTGATTCATTCTTGCAATTTTTCCTCTATTCTATATGTGTCTCTGTGTCTTGTGCCAATCTGTGTATGTGTCAGTTGTTCCTTTTTCTGGAATACGTCAATTTGAACAAATTCTTCTTTAAATTGTTTGTTTTACTTCATTATTTTATTAAATTCTTTGCTTGAGTTCGTCATCTCTTCTTTCTCGCATTTTATTCATTCTTTTTAGTCGACTTGCTTGTTATCGAAATACAATACGTAAATTCCTGTGTCTTCTCCTCTTCCAACCATTCGTCTCTCTCTTTTTCATCCCTTCTTTTTCTCTTTCGCACGCACACACAGAAACCTTTTTGCTAGTTTTCCATTGCATAGCGAGGCACTAATAGTGGCGGCACCAAAAGCATAGAAAAGCAGCAGCACCAGCACTACGAGAGCATCCAAAGCAAAGCGGCACCAAGAACCTTACAAAAAACGGTATTTTCTGGGATAATGTTTCATTCATTTTTAGTTTGGCAAAATATATTAAAATAACAAACGACAGAAAAAAAACAACTAATTCTATAGAATGAGAGATATTTATCTCTTAAACGTTGATGACGAGCAAGTTGTTGAAAGTTCTTTTCCGTAATTGAAAAGTGTCTGGATTTTGCACTCATTCAACTTAGTGTTTTTAACTGAGTGTTTCGAATGAGCTGAACAGCCTTTCTGATCATAAAAATAGTAAACAATATAGCGCCGCCTGGGGACTAAGCGCAATGTGTCATACTTTCAACCTTCGAACTAACACAGACGCGTACTTGTTATAGCAAACTATATGCATGATTCTCTATTTCTCCAACCATTCTCCAGGTGCCGCTCTATTTTTCTTGTTTGGCATTTTCTATCTGTTTGTACAGACGATTAGAGAGGCTGAAGCTGAGCGGCGAAAAAAATCACTGTGAAATATGGATATGGGTCACATTGATATTAATTCAATTTGTACGTATGTATTAACAACAGCATCTCTTGC